GTGTGTGTGTGTGTGTGTGTGTGTGTGTGTGTGTGTGTGTGTGTGTGTCTGGTGGACACTTGTGGAAGAACATTCTAGGCAAAGAAATAAGAGCAAGAGGGAGGCATAGCACATGACTGGAAAATGGAGAAGGAGTGGCCCAAAAGCTCTGACTGGGGTAAATGAGACAAGCTGGTAAAGATGTGGATCTGCCCTGCCTCAGGCTGAGAGAAGCACAGAAGGTTCAAACACAGCAAAATCAAGAAACTGAGCTACGAGACAAGTTTTATTTTTTATTTCCAATTGGGTGTACTTGAGTCTCTGTGTGGCTCTCTGCACAGGTGCCAGTGGTGGCCAGAGACACCAGATTCCCCTGAAGGTGGAGCTGCAGGAGGTTGTGAGCCACAGTCAGAAGTCCTTTGTAGGAGTAGTTTGTGCTCTTAACCACTCAGCCAGCTCTCCATCCCCAAACTTTTTTTTTATTCTTTTGCTTTTGACACAAGGTCTCCCTACATAGCCCAGCCACACATGGAACTCCTGGTAATCCTCCTGCATCATGAGGTTGCCGAAATGCTGGTATTACAGGCATGTACCACCATGTCCACTCCTGTATCATGTTTTTTTAAAGAATGATTTATTTTTTTTAATTTAATATGAATGAGAATTTTACCCCCATGCACCACATGCCTGCAGGAGTTACAGAGGTCAGAAGAGGGCATGGGATCCTCTAGACCTGTAGTTAGAGATGGTTGTGAGCTTCTCTGTAGGACCTGGGAACTGAACTGGTGTCTTTGTAAAAAAAACCAAAAAATAGTCAATATTCTTGGCCAGTGAACCATTTCTCTGTATCAAACAGTTAAGAAGAAGAAGAGGAAGAAGAGGAGGAGGAGGAGGAAGATCTGGTGAACCATCAGGGGATTAAGTCACAGAAGGACACAGGGCAGGTTGGAAAATACGATAAATCTTTCCTGAGTGGTACCCAGATATGATAACATCATCCCCAAGGGCAGTAAGGACGTATGTGAAAAGATAAACATCATATACCATGAATTCCTCTAATGATTGAGCTGGATGTGCTTGTCAAACCAACACCAGGGAGCTGGAGGTGGGAGGATCAGGAGTTGAATTAGTATATTCAGCTACGTAGGCAAGTTCAAGGCTGGCCTGGGCTAGATGAGTCCTGTAATGCTCATCTAGACTTGGCTTTTATATTAAATACCTTTTCATACTTTTTCATTTTGAATTCTTTGGTGCTTTGGATAAAATCTTTTTTTATATTTATTACATTGGTATTCTCTAATGTTGAAAATTTTTGAGTAGAAAAGTAAATGAATGACTGTGAACAAGTAAATTCATGGGCAAGTTCATGAATGTATTTCTGATTGAATGAATTCATGGATGATTTTGTGAATGAATGAATTCACAGATGCATTTGTGAAGTAATGAATTCGTGGGTGATTTTGTGAATTAATTAAGGAATTCATGGGTGACTTGTGAATGAGTGAATCCATGGGTAATTTTGTGAATGAATGCACACAAGCACAATTAAGGAAATTAATTAATGAAATGAGAGGAAAATATTGGCATTTTCAATGGGTCTGTGGCTACTCCGCCTGGATCAGGTCTGAATCCAACTGAAAAAGCTTCCTTAGATCTGTCCAGCTACAGCTCTATGCAACCATCTCCCCCCCTCTCCAAATACACGCTGGCTCTTACTGGCTTTTTGCTGGTTTCCTACTCAGCCTCAGGAGAAGAAAAGGCTGTGTTTTCAGATGAGTGAAGTTGGTGGCTTTCGAAAAAAAGCTGAGTCTTACAGCACCGCTAAAACTGTCGTATTCGCCAGAGTGCCCTGAACATCATAGAGAAACATTGAGCAACAAGGGCCCATGTCTGGAGCTACCTCTCGGGAGCCCTGCCTCCAGTGCTCTTGCTATCAACCCTGAGATCAGACAGGCTGACTTCTCTCCATGCCCTCCTGTGATTTTTAGGGGGCTACCTCCCTGGCCCCTGTTCTACAGGTGGCCATTGGGTATCAAGAAGCTTGTCTGTGAGGTTGGAGGTGGCTCAGCTGGTCCAGTGCTATGCAAGTGTGAAGTCCTGAGTTTGAAGCCATGTGAAAAAGCCAGGTATGTTAATACATGTTTATAATCCCAATTCTGGGTAAATAGAGACATTTGACCGCTGGGGCTCAATGGCCAGCCAGTCCAGCCAACAGAGTGCCAATCCAATAAGAGATCCTATCTCTTACAAACAAAACAACAAAACAAAACAAACAAACAAACAAAGGATGTGGAGGGGCTGGTGAGATGGATCAGTGGTATCTTAGAGTTTCTATTGCTATAATGGAACACCATGACCAAAACCAAATTAAGATGACAGGGTTAATTTGGCTTTACTTCCATGTCACTGTTCACCATTGAAGGAAGTCAGGACAGGAACTCAAACACACATGAAACTGGAGACAGGGGCTGATGCAGAGGCTATTCGGGGGTGGGGAGTGCTCTTACTGGCCTGATACTTATGGCTTGCTCACTCTGCTTTCTTACAGAAGTCAGAACCACCAGCTCAAGAACTGCACCACCCACAATGAGCTGGGCCCTCCCCCAGCCATCATAAGTGGATACTACCCATATAATATAGGATAAACATACTAAAACCTATACTGCTAAAGACGCTAAACAACAATGAAGACCGTAGGAAAGATGCTCAATCCTCATTCAGAAGGGCAAACGCTATAGACATTGGAAGCAGGTAAAGACAGGGAACAGGACAGGAGCCTACCACAGAGGGCCTCAGAAAGACTCATGCTTGAGGTATTGAAGCAGAGGCTGAGACTTATAGCCAAACTTTAGGCAGAGGGCATGGAATTTTATGAAAGAAGGGGGAGATAGAAAGGCCTGGAGGAAACAGAAGCTCCAAAAGGAGACCAACAGAGAAAAAAAAAACCTGAGCCCTGGGAGCCCCGTAGAGACTGATACCCCAACCAAGGAAAATGCATAGAGAGGACCTAAAACCCCGGCTCAGATGTAGCCCATAGACTCAGGCGTGTCTTATGCAGGCATCATCTTTTCCTTCTTCTTTTTAACGTGAGCACTGTCTGCAGAAATGCCTTCAAGCCAGCAGAGGGCATCAGATCTCTTTATAGGTGTTCATGAGCAACCGCGTGGTTTCTGGAGCTTGAACTCTGGACTTCTGGAAGAGCAGTAGCCATTGCTCTTAACTCTTGAGCCATCTCACCAGCCCCTGCAGACATTTTCTTACTTAAAGTTCCCTCCTCTAAAATAATTTTAAAGTGTATCAAGATGACATAAAACTATCCAGCATAGCAGTGGCTAAAGAGAGGTAACAATGTAGGAGATGGGGATCAGAGAGTTAAGAGGGTAGAGAAACGGACCTGGGGAGAGCAAGGGCGAGAGGACAGAAGGCCTGTAGAGAAACGAGAAACTGAGGGTGGGGGCATCTCTGTGACAAGCTGGACACCTAAGTCAGGGTAGGCTCCCGGGAGAATATGAGGGGGACTCAAGCAGAGACTCCTAGTATCAGAAGCTATAGAGACTGAGGAGGACACCCAACTAACTAGACTAGTCTCCTAGTAGAGGGAGGGGAACACCAAACAACCCATAAAAAATTCGACCTAAAATTTACCCCACCTACAAGATGTGCAAGGATAAAGATAGAACAGAGGTAGAGGGAATGTCTAACCAGTGCCTGGCCCAACCAAAGACCCACCTTGTTGGAGAGTGCCAACCCCTGGCACTATGAACGATGCTCTGCTAAACTTGCAGACAGGAGCCTGACAGAGTTGTCCTCTGAGAGGCGTGAGACTCATAGCCAAACACTGGGTGATTTATAGGGTGTCTTGTGGAAAAGTGGGAGGAAGGAGAAAAGGACCTGGAGGTGACAGGAGCTCCACAAGAAGACCAACAGAGCCAACTAACCAGGGTCCAGAGGGGCTTGCTGAGACTGAAGCATCAACCGAGGACCATGGATGAACTGGACCTAGGCCCCTTACAGAGATGTAGCAGGTGGGCAGCTTAGGCCTCATGTGGGTCCTCTAGTAAGGGAGGTGGGGGCTGCACTGGACACAGACTCACTTGCCAGCTTTTGATCACTTTCTCCTGGTGGGACTGCTTTGCTAAGCCACAAGG